TCTCTTCCTAATTATTTTACACTTTACTCTTATCTGTGCTCTTGAGGTTCTGTACATCTACTTATTTGCATGGTGGAAATACTAGACAATGGTGAGCTGTGCATCCCTTTCCAGCTCTACGCCAGTCATGTCACCTTGAAAGTTTGAAATGAGCCATAGTGGGGGTATTTACACCCTAGAAGCTGACAAGTGCTACCCATCAGGGTTTGGTACCGATTTGGGGAAGTGAATGTTATACCTTTAGCAACACACCACTGAACTGAAGGTTTATAGGAAGCGTGGAACAAACTTTTACTTGGAAGATGGATGGGTTGAAGAAGTACAGAAACATGTGCCCGTCTTCAGGAAGCCATTCTCAAAATTGTGTTAGAGTTTAAGGTGCTTGTTTTCTTTCTCAATTTAAAGCTATAATTATTCTATAAACATGACTTTTATTACAAATACCAGTTATGAAAGCGTCTGTAACTTTATGGAACAACCTGTATGTCATGACTTCTAGACAAAAATAAACGTGTTGACTAAATTGAGACATAAGTTCTTGAGAGTGGGCGGGAGAGATTCCCTTCCTTTCTCCCTGCCAAACTTCTAGAAAGAGGAGCTTGTACTCAATCTGTTTGCTTACCTTCTCATCAGTCTTGGCTTCTGTCTCCATCATTGGACAGAAATTGCTCTAAGGTAACCACTGACCTCCTTACGGCTAAATTCAGTATCTTTTCAGTCCTCAAGGCCATGACCTCTGCTTGGTTTGTGTGCCATTCCCCAGCCTCCTCCGCTAGACTGAATTAGTAGAACAGAAATCCTACCCTCCACTTCAGCCCTAGCCTCGCACACTATTTGGCACCTTCTAAGTACTCGGCCATTGTTTGCTGAATCAGTGGCCCGAGTTTTTATTTCTGTAACCTTAAGTATGTCATCTCATGTTTCTGGATGTCTGTTCTCTGACATGAAAGGAAGGTGAGCTATGTGGGGAGCTTCAGTTTGTCAAGAGCTCACCTTTAGGGTCCTGAGGAGACTGAAATTCTCCCTGCTTCAACTGAGCAATAGGAGCAGGTATGTCCTCTTTACTGCCAGGCAAACTCTTGGGTTTTCGCTTTCTTTTTGGTCCTTGGGCCTATGCCCCAAAACTATTCCTTTGCCTTCTGTTGTTTCTTGGCTCAGAGCCAAGGTGAGTGACTTTGAGGAACTTACATTGTCACCTTCCCAAGCTATACAGTTGGGATGAAGGGGAGCTGCACAAGACAAGCCAAGTGTTCACAACTCATGGGAGATCTGTAAACTGTGGGCCGGGTACATTCCCATACTTGGGTTATGCTTATTTTATCTTCATAATGTTTTTTCCCTAGAGTTGATCCCCTTCAACTCGTTAATCGTTTCTGTTGCTTTTATTGAATTCCCTCGAGTCTAAACTTCTTTTTTCTTAGAGTTGCCGGAATCAGAACCAAACAGTATTCCATATGCCAGTTTCCACTCCAGCATTACAGGATTTACAGAAGGGGAGGGATCATCTCGCTAATGGCTTAGTGGCACAAAGATCCCATCAGTCAACAACATTCAAGTTTCCACTGTCATCTGGGGGTCAAAGCTTTTGGTTCGCCCAGCTCATTATCCCAAATACTGATTGTCCTGCATTTGCTTTCTGGCTCACTGTCTCCATGAGGTGTCCGCCTATTGGGTCAAAGGCCCCAACGTGGTGCAGTCACCTCTGAAATTAAAAGGGGAAAAACACATCCACCTTGTGCATACACATACATAAAGAGCAGTCCAGCAATACTCACCTGAATGCTAGATTAGTCAGCAAACCATCAGAAATGAATCTAAATGAAGGAGGGCAGAGTTCAACGAAAAGTCATGATAAAGAAACACACTGGGCCCAGGCTGATTAAAGATAATTAGTTGTGGAAAATAAGATTGGGCTCCAGCCAAGTATTTGTTGTTGGTTTTTTTTTTAAGAATTTGTTTTTGACAAAGATAAACCAAAGGATCCAATAGTCATGTTGGGGGAATTTAGTGGTTCTTTTATAGGAGTTGAAGAGCCAGAACAAAGCAACAGTCAGTTTCAAAGTGCAGCTCAACTCTCCCTCTGTTTGTTGTTCTGCTCATAAACGTACAAGCTGTTTTCTTTCATCTGCACAGGGCTAAGACAATATGGAGAATCTATAATAGGTTTAAACCAGATTTATAAATAAATGCACAGAGTGGTGGTCAAGCCTGAGATCTTTTGGCCTAAGAAAAGATCTTAATGTCCCTGGCTGAAATTATTTTAAAAAGAGGAATCTCTTCAAAGTCCTAAAAGCCATCTGACTTGCCAGCGATAAGGAAAAGAGGTATCTCTTACCTAAATTGTTAAAACCCATAAAGGTGTTTGAGATGCTCAATAACAACAGAGAGGTTTAACCTCCACAGAGGGAATGGGAACAATTCTCCATGGATGTCTGCCTCCATGTCCAGATATAGGGGGGCCGACAACAGGGGAGGAGGGGAGCTGGTGAGTGACGCCAGATAACTTTATTTGGACTGAAACTGCAACGCCAAAGGGTCTGTGAAACCACCTGCCTGAAATATTGTTTTGATAAATAAGCCATATCCTCGTGGAATTGAAATCTCCAACTGTTCCACTGGCACGGACATCTCTGCAGTGACAGCACATGCCCCAGATTGTGGAGTTAACTTGAATTAAATTTCAGATGTGGGGGAGCTAAGGGAGGGGGTGGTGGCAGTAGGAGGGTTACAAACAGTATGCTGAGGCTCTGATGTTGTCACAACCAGATGGCTTCAACTGTATCATTTAAACAAAAACAAACATGTCCAGAAATAATGTAATAATGACAGGAGAAGCACAGAGTAGCTTCACCTATACCTGAAATCTTAACAGCTTTGTACCCACGGTAAAGCCCACATTAGAAATTCCATAAATATTGGAAAATCCCGGAAGAGACCTTCATCCTGCTAGAAGCTTGGTGGCAGGATTGCTACCCCCCCCTCGAGAACATATTCCCTGAACCCACCAGCCCCAAACCCACTGCTTTCGGTAAGAAAGCAAACCTGAAATCTGGTTTGTCCTCTGGAACCTCTGGAGAACAAGCCAGCAAAGGCGCCTTTCCAGTTTTGCTCCTACTGTCCCCACAGGAAGGAAGCTTCACCTCAGGTTTCACAAACATTTCAGAAAAGATAATTCCCAAAGTTACTGACAATCTTCTCAGAGTTCTACATTAGAAGAACTGTCACTCAACAGTTTTGTGATCTTAGGTGTGTCACGTAACCTCTCTGGGTTTCAACTTCTCTCATCTATAAAATGGGAAGATACTATTTGTCACTTGTCTTACCAAACTCAAGTTGTTGGGAAGTTCAAATGAGATACTGTGCATGGAAGGTTCGCTGAAAACTGAGAACTGCTGAGCAAATGCAGTTACCTGAAGGACAATGCGGGTGGAGGAGACTCCTTGTATGCCCTGATCCCCGGAGCTGTGTGCTGATCTGGAAAGTGAGGACCAAGAAGGTGTGCAGGGACAGCAGCCAGAACATGGAGAACTGGGCGCTTGCTCACATAGGTGACACTTAGGAGGACACTGAAGAGTGCAATGGAGGGGTTGGTTTCTAACAAGCAAATCCTGTCTGTCATTGTACTGATAATAGATCTTATTTACTCCATTCCAGGGGTGGCAAGATAAATGAAAATTGGAATATTTGCAAAGGCTAAAGTCACTGAAGGAAATTAGAAGATGAAATATGTCGAATTTCCACCTAAGGTCAAACAAAGCACACCTTGGCCAGATGGACAATGCTTTTCCCAGTGTTACCTTCACTGTCTGTCCACACTGCTATGAGAAAGGCAGAAGAGGAGCCCCAGAGCATTCTTGTGAGCTTGCTGGGAATTCAGACATCACATCAAGTCAGTGACAGAACTAGTCAGAGATAGTAATTTCCCTTTATTTAATCTCCACAGCCATGTCCCCTTGATCTTTTTATATTTCACTAGAAGGAACACTGAGAGTAGGTCTTAAACTGTGTAGGGTGCAGAAAGCCCACTTCCATTACCTGCCTTGGCAGAGGTAGGAGCCTAATCCCCAGTATAGGATGTGGACTGAGAGATACTCAAGGACAAGAGACTGGCAGACGCTGGTAGCTCACCAAGGAAACCTGAGATTAGGAAGATGTAATAAATCCCCACCACTCAGACATTTCAAACATTATCTCTGCAAGCTGCAGAATCAAACTAGGCCTTCAAAATCCCTTAAGGAACTCAGACCCAAAACACAAATCAGATGAGTGAAACAAAAGACCAGATACACCACACAGTACAAAATAGTCATTATTTATATTTTCAAAAAGAAAAAAATTAACATTTGGAAGTTCTCCCCTGTAGGAAGAGGGGTGAATTGGAAGGAACAGGACTGGCTCCTATGCAGGCGCAGGTACGAACAGCTGAGCAATCGGGGCTGGGATTTTTTCACACAGCATTAATAATAAAATTTCCTTTTCTCTTCTCTTTTGTTTTTTTTTTTTAGAAAAGGGGGGAGGGAGAAATAAAATCAGAGAAAAATGCCAAAAAACATTTTCCACAATATCTAAAAACAGAGAACTATAGTTCTTATCAAGACAGTATGAATTCTGGGTAAATTATTTTTTTCCAGTCTTCAAAACCAATAAAGATTTTTTTGCAAAAGCCACCACATCAGAACACTCATCTTCCAGATCAAATAACCTCCTTCCCCTTTCGCCTTCACTTGTCGTTTTTTCATAAAGGGATAAAAGGATGTATTCTGCTCTTGCAAACAATAAGTGCTAACAACGAGAGAGCTCTTCTGATACTTGCATGGTGGTGAGGAGTTTTCACAAATATCCAAGTTTTAGCACAGTTGTATGGACTGAAATTTCTCTCAATATAAATAGTATTAGAATCCACAAACTGATTTTTGAGAAATTCTGCAAAAATCCTTTCTTCTTTCCCCTTCTCTTAAAACTAAATGTCCTTCCTTTTTTTCCTTTTTGCTCCAGGCACNGTTTTTTTTTTTTAGAAAAGGGGGGAGGGAGAAATAAAATCAGAGAAAAATGCCAAAAAACATTTTCCACAATATCTAAAAACAGAGAACTATAGTTCTTATCAAGACAGTATGAATTCTGGGTAAATTATTTTTTTCCAGTCTTCAAAACCAATAAAGATTTTTTTGCAAAAGCCACCACATCAGAACACTCATCTTCCAGATCAAATAACCTCCTTCCCCTTTCGCCTTCACTTGTCGTTTTTTCATAAAGGGATAAAAGGATGTATTCTGCTCTTGCAAACAATAAGTGCTAACAACGAGAGAGCTCTTCTGATACTTGCATGGTGGTGAGGAGTTTTCACAAATATCCAAGTTTTAGCACAGTTGTATGGACTGAAATTTCTCTCAATATAAATAGTATTAGAATCCACAAACTGATTTTTGAGAAATTCTGCAAAAATCCTTTCTTCTTTCCCCTTCTCTTAAAACTAAATGTCCTTCCTTTTTTTCCTATTTGCTCCAGGCACCTGACGATTTGTTCTGCTCAGTCAGATGCAGACAGGTTTCTCCAAGTACCACCACTGGGATGTCCTCAGGGCCAGCGCCTAAACCGAATCCCCACAGGATCAAACTCGGTCAGGCCAAAGGGAACACAGTGACGCAGCAACAGGGTTTTCATTAGGTTGAACAGCCCCGAGTCCCCGGCCCTTCCCTCCCCCCACTTTCCCCAAGTTTATTTAGTGCTGTTTTAAAAGTCTGGGGCCACGATGCAGTCTTTTCCCCCACAGCAGAGTAAAAGCTCCACAGATTGCGCTGTCTACCTGGTGGTCAGTGGCAGCAACAGTGGCTGCTGCTTCTGGAAAATAAACGGAGTCTTACAACAGGCAGGATCTTAGGACTGCTTCAGACGTTTGCGTGGGGGTCCCAGAAAGGGGCACTGTGCTGAAGCCAGAGAGCGGTACGCCTCAGCCACCAAGTGGGGATGCGACACCACCATTGCCTTCCACCCCGAGGTCTCCAAGACATCCGAAGCATGACTAGGAGAAATGTGGAGAGATGGGTTACCAAAGGAGTTAAGGATGGATTAAACAGCCGCCTAGACAGCCTCATTTCCCAGAGTTTGCTGTAATGGGTGTGAATGCAAGAAACACTCAGTCAGAAAACTCTTAATATGCATGAGAATTCGCTTGTTAGAGGGTATGCAGACCGCTGACCAGATTGTGGCTGTTGTAACTTTGAAAACCAGGATTTTGTGCCACTAGATAATCAACTACAAGGTGAAATGTTCCTCAGGATCTTCTCTACACTGTCAAAGCTCTTCACTTTTTTTTTTTTTTATCTTCACCCGAGGATATGTCTTACTGATTTTAGAGAGAGGGGAAGAAGGGTGGGGGGAGAAACATGGATGTACGAGAGAAACAATAATCAGTTGCTTCCCATACACTCGCACTGGGGCTTGAACCCGCAACCTTTTGGTGCATGGGATGGTGTTCCAACCAATTGAGCCACACCAGCCAGGGCTATCAACGCTCTTTATGTTGCTAATGAAGAGAGAGCTCTGAGCTTCCACCAGGCTTTGCCATTTAACAGTGCCCTAACCACAGAGCAGATCAGAGCCTGGGGTCTATCTGAATATAAAAACGGAGGGGATACTAACCACACTGTGTTGAATGGTTCAATCTATAAAGCACCAAGCAAGTGTCCAGCATAGACCGAGCACTAACTCGGACCAACATTTCGTGGTCTCCTCCCTCTTTTGCCTCAATCGGTAACTCCTTCAAAACACTCTTACAGACTGTGAGGGCATCGTTTCCTGTTTGGGGGCATTTTCCATGTTGAATAATGTTCACTATTTACCTGGCAAACTCTTAGACCCGCCTCACCCCAGAAATGCTGTCGTGAGGGCTTTATAAGGCCCGCTCCTCTTCCTTGGGCTTCTCCAACTGTTATTCCCCATCAGGCAAGGGAGTAGAAGATGCCCTACTGAGAATTATTTCAGAAAGTAATATGGCCAGGTCATTTATCATTTAAGGTTGAAGGAATAGATCTTCTGGAATGAACATTTCTTTCTCAAAAAAGGATTTAACAACCTCATCTACTGATGATCCCTTCTCTTTTCCCCATCCCACAATGGACCATTAGATATATTTTAGTAACTCATAAAAACATGCTTCTGTTCATCAGAGATCTACATGCCTTTTATCAAGCCAGTGAATGTGAAGTAAAGATGCTATCATTTGGGGAACACAGCTTTTTTTGACCAGCACATTATCATTTTCATCAATCTGATCACTACGAGGAAGTAAAACACCTCACTCAGCAATCAAATTAGACCCATGAAAGCAAAACCATCTTCCACACTCTCAAGATGAAGGAAAAGATGAAAACATTATACTTACTACTAAAAGGTTAATGAAGCTTCTCGTCTATTTTATTCACTAATTCAAAGTCTTTCTCATTTCTCTAGCTATCCCAACTACCCTGAAAGAAGAACTTTGAAGATGCCAACTCACTAGTTGATGAAATCCACTGCCTGAGTTTTCAATTGATCTGCACTGTGGAGGTCAGCCAAGATGAGAATTTCTGCGGCGTTCTCCACGGAGAGGTTGCTGCAGAGGGCATCCTCACACATGACCTTTAAACGCTCCAGGGCATACTGTAAAACACAAGCACCGCTGTCAGAGCAGGAATCGCTCTGGGCTGACGCTACGGAAGCTTATTCTGCAGCTGTACCATTATGTAATGTACCTGAACAAAACTGCAGACTGTGAGAAGGCTACCACTGCAATTATAAAATATAACCATACTCCAAAGGCTGAAGTGAAGACAGCTAAATAACCTGCATACCTACCATTCAAGTTCTACAGTCTTCCTATGAGAAAAACGGCAATTATGAAGTAGACCGACATCCTCAAGTTTACCCTGTCCCAGGTACGATTAAAGTGTTTCTTAAACCATCACCACCTACCCTTACAAGGAGGCATTATTCTGCTTCATGTCACCAGGGACACTACATTTTAAACTTCTGCAATCCTTTTATTAGAGCCACACTAGGGTGAAGGACAGTCCTTTCTACTTAAGCATTGTCACCAGCCCAGCAGGGTATCCCGACTGCCCATTGGGCTGTGGAAAGGAGCCCTGTGGTGACTTTCACCAGCATCTCTGCCACCAGTTGTTCCTGAATGAGGGCCAAACACAGCGTCCTTTTAAATAGAGAAGGATAATGGAGTCCTACTTTACTAGGGTTGAGGTTAAGATTCTCAGGGTAGAAGAATAAAGCAATAAAGACCCTGGGTCCAGTTTCAGTCTAAAAACTTCCTCTTTTCCAAGTAAAGGGTATCAATGTTTTGTAAATGAAAGTCTAGGTTAATACTGGGCACATCTGACTTAGTTGATTTGTTTTGAGGCAACTGTACTCCTTGCTCTCAAATATGAGATTATGAACTTACTGAGGAACTTCAAGGAGGAGGAGGAGGAAGGGATAAAAGGAGGCACAAAATAAAATGGCATTAATCAGCTCACAAGAAAGGGGTTTGGTTGAGGGTATCCAGTCTCCATACAGGCCCCATCTCAAGGGGCCTCAGAACTCAACTGACACAACACTCCTCCAAGCAGAATCATGACAATCAAACCAGGACAATTTTATTTTTATGCATTTTGGGTGAGGAGGCATATCTGCTGGCACTGTGATCTCCTGCAGCAAAAAGAGAGTTTTATTGGTTTTGGTGCAGCTTTAATTTTTTACATTTGAGTAACTGGAAAACAGTTTCCATGGAAAACAAGAATGACATTAGACAAGCAAGAAATTAGGTTTTTGTTTTAAAAGGCTAGAAAAGGTTGAGTAAATGTTCAGTTTTTACACAGTACTGCACAGAATATTTCTATTATCCTTTCTCAATACATTCTTTTAAAAGGACTTTTACTGCATAATTAGACAAAAGTAGCCACTTTTGTCCCTTGGGGGACAAAGTTTTTTCTTAATTATACTTCTGAAAAACCTGCCTAATGGCAGTACTTACCCGAGAGATTGAAATTGTGTCTCCCAGGCCTGGCCAACGTGTTTTGTTTTGTTTTTGGTCTAATTACACATGTCCCCAGGAGACTGGAAAAGCTCAGAAGAAGCTGTTCCAGCCTCTTGGGTAAATTCTAGATGTTTAGATCCTTCCATGAAAGATTTCTTATTCTGTTTTCCTGAAGCTCACAAAGAGGTATAAAGGTAAGAATAACTTTCAAATAAGTTTGGAGGAGTGTGTCTAATTGGAAATTCTGAATGGAATTTGAAAACATACCCTTTAGTTACTTCTCATTCATAAATTTAAAGCACGGCAGTGACTCAACTGCTTTAGCTTTTAAAATCATAAGCTAACATACTGTACTGAAAATACCATCCTTAGAATGTCACTTCAGGCTGATCCCCATGCCCTGTGCACTTACAGTAGGTTCCCAGCAGGTTCTCTGGCTGAGGAATAGAAATGAAAACCCAGGGACAACAGATGTCTAACCTTGGCTCTGAGAATATATAACTCTGAGCCTTAGTATTTCTGTCTAAAAAGTGGGCCTTTCGATACTACTCACCCTCATGGGAGCTAGAGGATGAGAGGAAGATAAATTCCTGGTTGTATAAACACAAGAGACCCGACTCATTGAAAATCAGAGGGCAGATGAGTCAGAATCACTATAAATTCATGTCTATAAAAAGCAGGCATTCGGCTATGTGTCTCCAACTTCCCCTGAGCTCACAATGTGTATTTTCTTACTTTCTCCACTAGAAGCAAGTTTCCTTTGGTCAGAACTGAGCTAGAATGGAGGGTATGGGATGTTCGCATTGCTTAACTGTACTGATAAAATCTTGCAAGGTAATAAGCAGGATACAGCTAGCTATTATTCAATCCTTTTCATCTGTAGCATTGATTGGCTTTACATGCCTTATCCCCTACAAACACTCCAAAGAGCTAATCAATAAAGATAAAACCTCCACTGTAAACACAGGTACTTTCCTCTGTTCTCAGGGGTGCAAAGGAAGGTAGAAGATTATTCCCATGAGCAAATCCTGAAACGGCTCTAGTGCCCTTTCGTTAGAGTCAGAGCCAGCCTTGCCTCAGATGGCTGCTGCAGCATCCTGGCAGAAAGACGAGGCACTGCCAGCAGAGAACCATCCTTCTCATAGGTCTACTACTGGCCAGGTTTAAGCCCCTTGACACCCTTGCTTCAACCCTCCTTCCCAACACAAGAAAAGCTTCTGCAGGATAAACAGTAATCACACACACCCCCCCATCGTGCTTCCTTAGACCACAGGGCCTTGGATGGCAGGTCACTGAGCTCTCTTTGATGTATTTACACAATGAAAGTCAGTTTCCCAAAGTGTGTTTTGGGGAACACTAATCCTGGGGGTGATCCTTGAGGAAAACTAAATTGGAGAAATGCTATCATATTCCTTTTCAGAAAACTCACAGTGCACATGAACATACTAAAGGTTCTGAGAAATCCTGCAATAAAATAGCAATACAAAACCCCCCATTTGACTTGGTTAAACTCAGTGTTTCATTAACCTTTCCCCTCAAGTTTATTTTGGGAATCACTGGTCGACTGTTTTAGGTAATCACCATATTTCCTTGTTAAGATCCACGTTTTTATTTTCATACTGTAACATTTCTCAAATCAAAATGTATCTTACAATGAAAGTATACATTTACTCTAGTAGCATCTCTTTTTTCCCCAAAGAGCTATTAACCATCTTATAATTTAGAATATTTCAATAATTACTTAAAAATGCTAACCAGGACACTGTTAAAAGATTATTCCCTTATTGAAAAAGTTTAAATAAAAGTTAATGAATTCAAGAACATTTTATAAATTATAAAGCCAAATTATAAATCCAAATGTTAGCATTATCTGAGTCTTTAATATCACTATGGTTAAATCTGAGATTGGGAAGAGAGGTAAATGGCAAGCTTATTCTTCTTTCCCACAGGTAGAGTGGCCATATGTAATTTACCATTCAAAGCAGGATACTTTTGAAAATAAAAAGGGTGCTATCAATAATTGTGCTATAACACAAGTGTAAACCAGGACTCTCCAGCCAAACTAAGATATATGCTCATTTTACCCACAATACAGCATAGAAGCCCAGTTGTGAAACTCAAGAGGTCACAGAAACTCCTAGTCTTATGATTATTTTTCTATTCCTATCTCACCTTGTCAGCAGCTGCCAGCAAATCATCAGCCATTTTGTCCAGGTTTGGAGCCTTCCCCGTGTAAATGAAGCACATCATTTCCTTAAAAACTTCAGGCTCCACATCATTGATTTCAACCCGATTCTATGCCAGAAAAACCAGAAGTGAAAAACATTCCAACAGAACAAATTCCCTAAACAATTTTCATGATTTTAAGCTCTGGTGAGGAGAGAATCCTGTATCATTTAAAACCTAACACGAATGAAAAACTGTTCTTTGCCGTATTTGATTATAATAGCCTTTCTCTGTCATATGTACCACCTTTGTTTTCTCAAATACAACAGCAAGACAAGTATTATCTTTCATTTTTCACCTTTCTTTTCTTGAGTAGAGACACATGTCTAATACCCTCACCTCAAACACTTTCGATAATTTGCCTGGGAGAGAGAGAGTCTGATGTACCTAGAATCCTTCTGGACCACCTCTCTCTGCTCTCAGAAAGTATCTGTTCATGGAATTTGTACATTTCAGTAACACAGTAAGGAAAAAATAAGTAGGAAAATAAATTCACTGCCAAATTGGAAAAATCATCTGAATCTAGTCACCTAGCTAAAAGACATATTTTTATTCTGATACATACCTTTTTGCTCTCCTCCATTTCATGTTCAAACATGGCACTAAAAACTGGAGAACGAGCTAGAAAGTGAAAGGCAACAGAGAGAGATGTAGTTATCACATAATCGCTTGGTTCTTCTGTTATGTAGAAGAGGACATTTTCTTCTCTGATATAGGAAAGGGTCAATTATACCAGAATTATAAAATTCCTTTCTTCTTATACCAATAAGTGAATAATTATAATGCATAGGGAAAAAAGAAATTGCTACTTTCAAAGTAATTTATTAGCTCGATTCCAACCATTCATATTAAAAAAATTTTTTTTTTAAATCCTCTCCAGAGAATATTTTTTCCATTGCTTTTCAGAGAGAGTGGAAGGGAGACAGAGAGAAAGAAACACTGATGTGAGAGAGACACAGTGACTGGCTTCCTCCTGAACATGCCCCAACTTGGAGCAGGGAGCAAATCTGCAACCTAGGTGCCCTTGACCGGAATCAAACCTATGACATTTTAGTGCGCAGGCCAATGCTTTAACCACTGAGCAACTGGCCAGGGCAACAACCATTCATATTTTAAGGAAATTACTCAAATTACCTATTTTGGATGACAATGATATTCTCTGGGTAGATTTGGGGTTCAAATGGGAGGTCTTTAGGGTCTAAGCAGGATATCCTGATACCTAGATTTTTTGCCTGGAACAATGACACCTACTCTCTCCACCTCCAGGGATCACACAGCAAGGAGGTCAAGAACAGGGTTCAATGGCATCCATTAACTAGATGAAAAGCATGCTTGTTTATGGCAGGTTTTCTGTTCCTTCAAGTCTTACATTCTCAACAGAGATAACAACCCAAAGAAGCAAAAAAAATCTTAGATATTGCAATCATTTGTGGCCCTTCAAAGCTCAACCCTACCCAACAAAATCTTATTCCTTAGTATTCAATGTCTCTCATTAGGGATAATTTAATTTTTTTCCTTAGGGGTGGGAATAATGAAAAAAGGTTGAGAAACAGTGTTCTAAGTCATGCCCAATTCTAGTCTAATAAACATTATAAATAATAAGTAAACTTAATTTCAACCATGAAAGTAATAAAATGGCTAAGAACTCAAATTTTATCATGTGGTCCAGTAAATCAGGGATTTTGGTGAAAGTTGAGACTACCAATCTCTACCTAAGAGAGGAAGAACAGATGGAATATACAGTAAGACTCTGAGCTAACAGGTAACTGGAACTTTGATCTACAGTTTATGTCAGAAAGGACTAATTTTATTTTATTTATTTTTATTTTTTTAATAATTTTTATTTTTGTTTAAAGTATTACAGATGTCCCTTTTTCTCCCCAATGACCCTTTCCCCCCTGTTCTTTCCCCCTCCCCAGTCCCTCTCCCCACCATTGTCCGTGTCCTTGGGTTGTGCATATATGCATATAAATTCTTTGGTTACTCTCTCCCCCTCCATCCCCTCTCCCCCTTCCCTCTGACATTTCGTTAATTTTAGATCTGCCATATTTTAACCACATAATCTTGGGCAAATCACTTAACCCTCTGAGCCTCAACGTTTCAATCTATTCCAAAGGATATTAATTCTCATTGTTCTTATCTAAGAAGGGCTACAGACTAAAAGGTACTAAATAAACACATTACAGAAGTTGAATACTAAAGGGCTGGTGTTTTTAATAAAAAGGGGAGGTTCCAAAGCAGTGATATGCTTAGAGGGTCTACAGTGAATAGACAGAAGCTGATGAGAATAAAATCACCCTGGGAGAGTAAGTAGAGTGAAAAGAAAGCTGAGGGACCAATTTTAAAGGGATGGCTACACATTAGAAGTAGCCAGAGAACCAGAAGAAAACCAGAAGAAAGGAATCAAATAATATATGAACTAAAGAGTTCCTCAAATTTAAGAACTAGCAGGTCATATAACTTTGGAAAACTGCTTTCATTGCATGAAGGTGAACTGAGAATAAGTGGGAAGAAAGAAGTAGAGACACTGAGTGTGCTAACTTAAGAAATTTAGCTCTGAAAAAAAGAGAGAAAGACAATAACTAGATGGAGAAGCCTGAGCCTGTTTACAGGTGGAGGGTAAACAGGCAACAGGAGAAAGAGAGATGGTGAAGATACCAGATAACAAGGTAAAAGTGGCAGAGTAAGGCTTCTGAGAAGGCAGTATGGGATATGAAACAGGACAGAAGTAGAAAGTACAGTTGGCTCTGGACACAAGGAAGAACACCCCTTCCACTGAGAATGCAGGGAAAATGCAGGGAAAGTGAGGGGCAAGAGCTAAGGGGAAGAGTCTCAATTTTCTTTTGGAAGAAGTAGCAAGGTCGTCTTTTAGGAGTTGGAGATTAAAGGAGAGTGGTAAAGGTTTGAAGTACCTATTGCTGAGAAAAAGAAATGGAGCTAACTGTAGAAAGAGTTCTTGGCAGTGCTGAGGGCCTAGCTGAGTATGGAGTGCGTTAACCTAAGAGTTGATGACTTTCTTTAGCAATACATGGTAATATCTAGTTGAGAGGGGGAAGAGAAAGATCATTAGATTGAGCCAGACTGAGGTTTTGCCAGGTGTATATTGTAGTGTAATACAGCAGAGGGTCTTGGTAAGAAATCTGTTGCCTGAAGGTTCATGCTATTTCCGTTTATGTCCTATGGCCTGAATAGAAGTTTGTGGCTGACTGCTATGCTTTCACGTGAGGTGAAGTCAGCCCTGCCTTATCAGCTCCTCCTGTGTCAGTCTTTCTAGTCTTAAAGACAAGAGGTCTATTATTACAATAAGACCCGATCCTCCATGTCACCAGCAACATTCTCATTCTTCTAATATATTTATATAAAAGACAAGGCTAAGACCTCCAGGGTTGGTGACTTAGCTAGATGGTAGTTTAGTCCTGAGTCCAGAATTCTCTCTGTTACATCCTAAGTCCCTGTCTAGGGACCAGTACCTGATCTTAACCAGTGTCTTGACATCTGTTTTCTAGGTGCAAAGGCATTCAATACATATCATCATCCATTCCTGGAAAATGGTGGCCTAAGTCCACTACAGAGGAAGAACAGAAATACCATTTTTATGGAGAGTTGCCTTTTTGGTTATGACAACTAATGTCACCACAATATTAAAATATATTTAGTTGCAATTTTTTTGCACTAGTTTAAAAGCTTGAAGTTATTCAAAAGGTGATTATGCTGCCACTGTTTTTCCTTGTTTCACCAAAACTAACACTCCCCACGAATAAATACTAACCTGCTAAGATAGCTTTGTGAGCCTGGAATTCCTGGCCAGCAACACACAAACAACAGTCTGTGAACCGGGAATTCTCCCACAGTCCTCCTAACTCATCGGCCAACCGGCACTCGGGAACCTTCACCATATTCATGGTATTCTGGCCAGAAATGTTGACGGAATCTTGCACCACACTCACCTGTGAAGACAAGCAAACACAGTCCAAAGCTTTTGTTACCAGGAATTTCCTTCCCAGCAGGGAGAGAGATGATTTTTACCTTGTTGCTATAGTACATTCAGATACTACAAAGTTAGTCATATTCTCTTGAAATCACCTCCACAAATCAAAGCTTTATCCTGTGGATCAAGTAATTGCCTATCTATCACAATCATACTTAGTCTACATCATCTCAAGAAAATGGGGAGAGAGCCCCACATATCTCCTTCTCCTCCAACTTCTAATAAGCTCCACCCCCCATCCCTGAAAACCTGGGCAAAGCCATCAGAGGGAAAAAACTGACAGAAACAACTGTTAAACTTCAAGTACTGACCTTATCCTGCCTTAAGGGAAAGGTTAAATACAAAGAACTCCTATAGAAACTACCACTTAAACTCTTTAGAGAGAAAAATCTAGTATGCCTAAAAAGCACTTCACTTACTTTAGTTAGGTCTGGAACATGAAAATAAAATGCAGCTTCCATAGGGCCTGATAAATAATTGGTAGTTCCTCACAAATGTTACTTTAATGAACAGGACTGGGCTTCTAGTAGTGATAACTGAGTGGGTATCTCACACCACTTATACCCTTACTCAGTCATCTGTGACAATGATATGCAAGATGGCTGGCCCCCGCTAGACATGCCTTTATAGCTTTGGAACAGAATGATGAGAACAGGTTTAAAGAGGGATCCAACTTGCCACATGGCTTCAGCAGCGGCATGTTTTAACCAGGTGAATTAACAGTTCAGTTTAGATTTAAAAAACAACAAGGTAACTTCTAGATGGGTCAGTGAAAGTCAGATAAGTTTGTTAGTATACCAAATATAAGAATTTATAAATCATATAATATTATAAGATAAACATAAGTTACCAAACTGAAGATAAGACCCAGCAGATCAGTCTTCTGCCTAACAACCACTGCTATGCTTTGCCTCCTACATCATATTAGGTTAGAAATGTTAAAATCAAAGCAAAATTCGTAAACCTCAGCATCAGCTACCCACTCTTGCTATTCCTATGAGTTAGATGAGAAAGGCAGCTTAGGAACATTCTAAATGACCCAAATTTCTTTTAACCTTCAAAACAGAAGTCATCCCTTAAATGCAGTCATAAACCCTGAGGCAAAGTTAATGCCCCATCTAAATGACCCGTAATCCCTTCTGTGCAGGAGTGAGATATTTATTATAGGGTCAAGAAATTTATTCATTTGTTTGAAATGAGCTGTTATAGTCTTGAGCAATGAAGCAGCCAAGTTAATCAATTATGAATGTGCTTAGCATTAGCAGCACATTTATCAGAGCCAGATTATAACATTATTTTAATAGCCTGAGACCCAGCATGAACTACTACACAGAGATTCTTTCTTGTCCTGTGTAAGATCTCTAATTTGGTTCAGCCATTCTCTCATATTAACATCCTTACTTCCCTGATATAATATTAATATCATAAGTAGAAGTTGCCTGTTTCCAGTTATAGCTTCAAAATACCACTGATTTTTTTTTTTATTATTAAAGAAAAAAACCAAGTAAATCCAACTTCCTCTTAGAAAAAGGCAGGAATCTCTTGGGATGATCAATGAAGGGAATGGAGAATGCTTTTGGCACTAAGTCCTAAGCTTGAATTAAACCAGGCTGACAGGAGCCCAAAGTCATTAACACTTGATGGCAATTTACTAGACTGGGTAAAATGAACTGGCAAGAGGTAAGGTAAATTTCAGACTATGGTTACCAGTGGACCCTCTGCTGGTTAGATGCATGCTTGGTAATGAGTGGGACCCCAAAACTGTGATTCTTCTCACAGGGACAATTCCTCTCTCTAGACACAGACAGAAACGCAGCAGGAAGGAGAATGTACCTTTACTGTCTGAGCCAGACTTGTTCCGCAGATATATGGATGCCTGGAGTCTCCAGAGCTCTGAATGTCTGGCACCTCTTACTAACATTAAATATGCTTAATTAAAAATAAATTTTAAATGGCATTCACAAATGAGTCTTCAGAGCCCAAACTTTTAACTTAGAAAGGGATTGTTTTCCTCTGCAAATGATGCTGCTAAAATGAAACCATTTTGAGAAAAACTAAAGATTTTTTTTTAATGCCTATAAAGTTGACTATGGAGACTCATTCAGAATTACAGCTATGAAGATGACGTGATTGTGACATTTATGTCGTCTTACAAATGACTGCATGAAAATGTCTCAGGAAGGCTGTATAACCCTCTAAATTTCAAGTTGTAAAAGGGCCTCACTTTTAAAGGCAATTCCTTTTCTTAAAAAAGAAAATTTCATAAAAGACTAAAGATTGTGCCGATTTTTATACATTTTACCTAAACATAAAAAGTCAAAACCAATGGAAATATACTTTTAAACTTCTATATAATTAAAACATTTGAGGGGGAAAAAAGACTCTTCATATAAATTGTTTATAGCAGCAGCACTATTTCTTTTTTCTTTTTTAAATATGTTTTTATTGACTTCAGAGAGAAGGAAGAGGGAGAGAGAAACATCAATGATGAGAGAGTCATTGATCAGCTGCCTCCTGCACAACCCCTACTGGGGATCAAGCCCAAAACCCGGGTATGTGTTGTGACCAGGAATTGAACAGTGACTTCCTGATTCATGGGTTGACGCTCAACCACTGAACTACACCGGCTGGGCAGCAGCACTATTTCTAATCAAAAGACTAGCAACAATTTAAATGTCCATCAACGAGAATAAACTATTGCATATTCACACAACTATTATATAGCAGTAAAAATGAATGAACTGTAGTTACATCCACAATATAAATTTTAGAAACATAATGTGAAAAGAGGAAGTCCTAGATGACTACATACATTCTGACACCAATTTTATAAAGCTCAAAAACCAATCAAATGTAAACAATATATTATTCAGGCATACAAATAATAAATGAGAGGATGATGACATACAAATCAAAATAGCTATTTATTATCTCCTGATGGGGGAAGACAATAGGTCAAAGGGATAAGGGAAAACCTTCAGGTGAATTACACGTTACCGGTGGGTTGGATTGTAGGTTTACTACATTATCATATTTTATAACCTATAATAATGTTACATATTAAATCACCATTTTTGTAGGACAAAAACACTCAAATTGGCATTTTCTTATAGTTTAACTAATATATGCAAATAATCCATTAATAAAATAATAAAAAGGGAAAAAATGAATAGATTCACATATTTAAAATTTGGCTAAAATCATATTCCCAGTCAATGAGGGGATATTTTATGTTTGAGAAGGACAGGAATGTTTTAAGAGTTAAGACTACTAGATACTTCATATTTCAACTTTAATTACAACGTTACAAAAAAACGCTGAAATCTTCATTGTATATTGAAGGCATATACAATGATGGTGGAATATGTGCATCTTCATTGCTAACAGCTACCTGTTTTCAATATAAAGAAATGGAGAGAAGGGTCAACAGAAGCTAAAACATTTCAAGTAGATTTTCTGCCATCCAAATTATTAAAAGTGTAAAGCTGTCTTGATTCTGTTTCATTACCAAAATAAATACTCTCTGTGAAGAAAACTTGGTAGAGCCCATGTTTCCCTGGGTAAATGGCATTCAGCTCCACTTAGCGTGGCACAGCAGACTAGAGACAGAAAATGGAGAGCTGACACTAATTTGCTGCACAATGGTAGGAAAAAAATTACCTGACCTCCCTAGGCACTTCTTCTCTCCCCAACAACAAGAAATGAAGATAATAGAACTAACCAAGCTCAAAGGATTGTGAAAAGAGACAATTCAAGGAATGCTTTGAAAATGCTTCCAAATACATTAACTAAGCAATATCAACTTGGAAGAATCGCTACATTTCCTAATAGACAAAAACATCACTGAAAATTTAAAGTGAACCCAGTGCGGCACATTATAAACAAGGCCATCCATTTGGCATTTTCAGAGTTTGCAATCTAATTTCATTTAAATATTCATTAACAGTAATATTACTAAAACGAAGCCCAAACAAACAAATGTGTGATTCTCAGTCTTGCACTTTAGGATATATTCCTTCTTGTGGCTTCTGGGAACATAACAAAAAAAAATTCACGGAACAACTATACTTATTGCATCATGACAGGACAGATGTGTCTGGGCCAGAGGCTGAATGAGGAATGGAGCAGTGGAGTATTCATAATCTAAATTTGTATGTGGACATCAACTTCATAAAAGCCTCTAAATAATAAAATACTAACTAAACCTATAATAAACTAAATTAAAATATAAATATGAACTAAAATAAACTTGTACATATATTTTCCATTGATAAAAGGGAGCAAGAGGTCAAAGGGACAGAACTTGCACCAAAGAATGATCTAGCTTTGTAAAGCACTAAGAACTCAGATGAGCTGCATACATTTTTAAAACCCACACATCCAACACTCCCCCCCTCCCCATGCAACTGTCTTGCAATGCTGAATGCTACTAAGTCCACAGAGAGCCTTGGAACAAAAACAAGTCTCACTAGGCACAAGCCCAAGTATGAGAAGCAACACTCAGCACCTGTGGCCAACAGAGAAGTGTGAGAGGAACAGATGGCATACCTGGTCCAATGGTAAGAAACCGATGGCATCAGCAGAACCCAGCAGACGTTTCCCTGTTCAACATCTCCTCACTTCCAAAGTGTCATCTCACTTCCCTTCTAAGTCAGTAAGGCAAATCTAAACTTAACCACAGAATTTCTCCTAAGAGATTTTATACAGGGAAGCGAAGGGGGAGAGAGTGCCTCAGTCTTTAACCACAGGATGAGAGACTGCCAAGTGAGGGCAGAACAATTGGTTTCCAAATCAAGAATGTCAATACAGGGGTCGGAGCGGACTGGGGAAGGGGGAAGCATGAGAAAAGGCTGGACCCACTGTGGACTTGGAAATACTGCAATAAAGGTTACGGCACTGCCTAAAACACCAGATGCAACATTTAGAGGAGAAATCTTTCTTCAGAGAACAGTTAAGATGGGCTTTGATTCCCAACAGGAATTAGAATTTCCCACTATTTTTAAATTTTTCTGAGATTTAGGTCTTTCAGATAGGTGAAAATGAAATTAATGGTCTGTTTATATAACATCTAACCTCACACAAAACCACCTAATAGTTTTCATTTCTTGCTTGGGCAACTGAGTGTGTACCTAGTTAGATTTACATGGAATTCAAATTTCAAGTTCATCAGACAAAATACAACTAAAATAAATTCTGCATTTATCTAGATGTCATCATGTTAGTATTTCCTTCTTTTATTTAGAAATTTAAAAGGAGAGAAGGTAACTATTATGCAAACTGCATTTTATGTATTCAGTGTGGTATTTTAATAAACTAGACTTCCAAAATTTCCCAACAACCAGGAACTAGTCTGGAAATAACCAATGAGCTGTGACTCAGAACAGAAGCAGGCTACTACTGGCCAGTCCTCTTCTACAAAAGGGCGAGATTCCTAAGGGACACCCTTCCAGGCTACACAGGTGGTGACATGTTTTTGGAACTGTCATTAACTCACAGTATGAGCCTATTATCTGACAGAACAATTGCAGGGAAATTGCCTGCACCCTCCCCATGGTCATTTTCATCAAATGGTGCTGCTCAGGAAGTGTTTCCTTGACCATACAATGTACAGGAAATACTGATGTCTTCAGTTTTATTCATTTATTACACGTAAGCTTAAGAATATTTCTAAATGTACTGATAACAGCATGAAATAACTTATTAGTATATATTCATTAACAAAACCACTTTCCAACTCACTCTCAGTTTTGGAATTTTACTTCGAGGCTTCTCTTATAAACCTAAGAAAGGCTCTTAGGTTGTTGGTTTCTGAGAGAAGGAAGGCCTCTCCGAGCTGACTACAGTTAACTCTCAGCTAATAGGAGTTAGAGAGCTTTACATAACCTTCACGCTAGAAAAGAGGGTTCTCACCTTCCTATTTCACAATTACTCTAGCAAGACAAACCAAAGACATTCAACTCCTGATAAGTCATCTGGTTCAAAGAGCAGAAAAGAAAAGCGATCTATAGTCAAACATATGTGGACTTCATGCTCAAGGAGACGCCATAATGTTTAAGGAACAAATTATGTACTTGCTGGCCAGTATGCTCAGCTTGAAGTGACAGTCTTTCCAAATGCTATCTGAAAAAACCCACAACAAAAAAGCCAAAATCCTGACCAAAGCAATTAAAAAATCATAAATACCAAGATTGTACACAATCTTTGTTTTTAAGAATAGGAACAAGTGGAAAGCTGAGATGCCCGACAACCTTGAAAACATGGCAGTTTCAGTCACATAAATAACGTTTGCTAGCACCACCCCACTCAGGGGTTCTTCTCACTCTCCATCCCTGATACAATACAATTAAATCTGCCAATACTGATCAGGCCTGGGAACTGCTAGTCTCACAGCGGGGTAGAAGCACTCACCTCACAGAAGAGGGTAAGCTTGTCATCAGGGAGAAGCCCGTTGGCTTCATCCAAGAGAAAATCTCTACGGATGAATTTTTTGAATCCCCAGTCTTTGCCTTGCACAAACCTATATGCCCGTTGACTCTCTGAGGTGAAAAAAAAGTCATATTTAGGGTTACTCAAAAAACCAGATCAAATCTACAACTTGTCAGTGTATCAAGTTGCTGGATGTGAAAATTAAGAATCGAACAAAGAAGAGAACATTTACCCATAGCTTTGGTTTCTTCTCCCTTGGCATTCAGGATGGAGAATTTGAATTTTGCCCGAACTTCACTCTTTGGACAGCTGACCAGTAACAGGTAAAGTGACAGGTAATCTTTGCTTTCTTCATCTAGCCCTTTTGGGTTTACTCTCAAACACCTGCCCAAAACAGATAGAAAAAAAAAAAGTGTTGAAAACATCCATGCTTATAGGCTGGAGAAGGGATAGAAGAGAACTAGAACATCAGAATCAAGAGAGGGAGATGTTTTAAAAACAAACAAACAAACAATCTCAGGCCCCATAATCAGGAAATTCTGATTCAGTAGAATGACTACTTTGGAACCACTTTTCTAGAGCAACCTGAGTCCACTTTTTAAAAGTAAACAAAAAAATAAAGGCGCATTCTAGAATCTGACAACACATCCCTTACATCTTTGCCTCTTTCCTCATAATTTCCTAAATCATTCTTTTTCTCCCTAAAATATTTTAAAAGTCAGGCTATTCTAATCCTCAATCTCAGGAGAGGCAGCCCCTAATTTTGTTGGGACTGTGGTGAAACCATGAACAAAAAAGTGTCAATAAGCCCTTTAATATCACCTTGGGGGAGAAAAAGTATTTGAGAGAAATATGTGAATAGTACCTAATCTTTCATAGATACTTTATCAATCTGGCAATAATATTATAAGATTAAAATCAAGGAGACAGTATGGAGGAAGCACAGATAAAAGTAAACTCCCAGGGTATAGCTCCAAGCTATACAGTCAGAGATGCCAATCTGTTACCAATGAATCAAAACAAAATTCAGACAGAACAGGTTCAAATGAGTTAAGTTGTAAATGTCAGTTGAACTGCAAGTGATTCAGACACTGCTTCTACCAGATAGGCCATATGTACCCTAAGGCCTTGCCAGTGTTATGACACCTCTCGCAAACAGGTGGCCCAATCCAATGCCTCTCTAGGGAGTGCCACTTATATCTCTATACATTGTGTTAAAGATGTAGATTTAGATACAATGCCTAAGAAGAAGCATTCTCTCTCAGCACCTAGTAGTATACTGCTTAATGTACACAGCCAACAAATACTAAATGGAGAGCTATTTAACTTTTCAGTGGGTTATCAGAGGTCAAAAATGGCAGTTCACAGACATGTGTTCTGGTCTTTGCAGTAAACGCATGACTGCATCCTTAACTACCTGGTCTTCCTCAAGAGGACACATGGTTTGGGTGGGACTGACTCTCACTTATTGCCACAGGGATTAATGGAGGGAATGGAGACCTAATCCAATCAGTACATGTATAACATATTCTTGGCCACACAGTTAGTTCAGAAGTTCAAAAACTTCTGTTGGATGGTAGTGGGTTGTGTTCATTACTAATACAAGTTATCCTTCAACCACAAGGGAAATTAGACTTGAGATCTCCAACAGTGTGGAGAGCAAGGCAGAGCAGAGAGAGATGGAGGTTCTTAATCTAACCACTGGGCTGCTGGATTGAACTAAGCTTCAAAGCCATCCTGCACCCCGGGCATTCCAGTTACATAAGCAAATAAATCTCCATTATTTTTTTAAAAACAGGCAACTTAAAAGTCAAGAGATTATATGTTAAAATCTAGATTTCTTGCTTTTCTTGAACCATCAGAAAATCTGGCAATGGTTAAGCCCTTGTTCACACATAGCTGTAGTCAGCTGGATCTCAGTACCCACTGTCCCTTTTAGAAGGACACTCATTTGTTTGCTAGTAGTCAACACTTACACCAGATATGGATATGTTTTACAACACTGGCCCTCTTTCCTCATTTACATTACCCTACAGCCATTTGAGTTTGCAGATCCCTGATATACTCAGCAAGCGCCTACATGTACCAGGCACCATTCTAGGCACTGGGGAATATATAAGGACAAAGTCCCTGTCTCTAAGGATCTTACATTTTAGTCAGTCTCCCCATAAAACCAAGCAAAAGAGGCAACTTTTAGAAAAATTTTTACAACTAGATGTATTCTTCCTCACCATTTCAGTTTATCATTGGCTCCTGATGAAAAGGTTGAACTTTTAATGACTTCACCCATTTCCTCCCGGCAAAAGCTAAAGTTATTGATGGTCCACATGTAGGAGAATTTCACTACCTTGATCTGTTGATAGAAAACCAGGAAGTAATTAAATAAGAAGTGGGCGACCTAAAAAACAGGCTAAAGATCAGATCATTGTTTCCCCTCCCTCCCTCTGCATGATCCCAGAGGAAGATAGCACTGTTTGGCCAGCATGGAGGCTCAGCCTTTTTCTCACCTTACGTCCCTCATCCACATTTTAAGAAATCTCACAATGACCAACTGCTTTCATAACTTTTCTCAGCTTCTGAGAAATACTGAATGGAAAGTGAGAAAAACATGGAAAGGGTTGGGAAAGCAGATGACAAAGCCAAACCTAACATGAGCCTTTGTACAAAGAAGTGTTTGACAATTGAGATGTTAATGCTACTACCTGGGGTCGCAAATCTCAAACCTAGTTTCCTTTTGAGTTGCCCAACAGAAGAACACATTTCCATCAAGGAGGATGTAAGTGGATCTAGTTTCGAAGAGTCCCCCCTTTTCAACCTCCAGTGAAAAACACTGGCGCACGGTATTCAGATTCCACTTGGAGAACCAAGGAGTGGAAAACTGACAAATACCTTATTTATCTGCTATTTGGCAGTTATGTCCCAGAGAAAGCAGAACCCAATGTAGAAAGAAATCTTATTCCTTTCATCCAACAAATCCCCCCAACACGCAAGATTTATAGGGTGAAAACAAGAACCTACCTGTGTGTAGCACCAGCTCTCAGCTACAGGGCCACTCGACATTTCTGCCGGAGGTGGAGGACTTGGAACCCTTGACATCGCCAGTTTGAAGGTTAGACGAGATTTCCAATGTCAGGGGACAAAGATTTCTCTTCTCTCTTCACCCTGGTTGACACAAGAAGCAAGAGGATGTTTTAGGTTAATGGCATACAATCCTATTTCTGTTTGACCTTCCAGAGATTGGAAACTTTGTCTCCTGCCTAGAATTCTCTACCCGTATCATTCAAATGGCTGCTTAGAGTTCCAAATTTAAATGTTAATCTCAGAGAAAATCACCTAATCTAATCTAGTCTCCTAGTTACAATTATATCACCCTATTTTAATTCTCTGCACAATACTTAATATTATCTTACCAAAGGAATTTACTCAATGGGCATATAAAGTACATCTATGAAAAGGCTGCCTGAAGAAGAGACAGCATAAGTGAACATCACACACAACTATATCACTGGCTCCTTCACTTGGGACAGAAATACTCTACTCCTGAAGGAAAATGACCTGATTATCTCTCTATCTCATCTTCTCTTACACTTCAGTACAAACTAATGAAGAGTAATCTTCCATTCCTCAACCCACCGGTAGCTGCTCTTTTGAAGGGCAACATTTACCCCTTTCTTAGATGTGTTCCTTTCTCTGCAGAGAGATCACTCCCCACTTATACCCCATCACTATACAATTTTCCAGATTCTTCTCCTTGTTCTTGCCCTGTTTTCTGATCACTCTTGAGTCTCTTTCATTAAATGTTCATCCTTCACTATTGTTCCCCATGGTTTAATCCTCAGTCATTTTCTCAATCTACATTCTCTTTCATGACAATTTTATCCATCCAACAGTGTCAAATTTCTGCCTTTATAAAAAATATTTCCCAAATCTCTCTAACTTTGACCTCTCTCATAAGCCTCAGACTATTTTCAAATAACTACTCTACATCTCAGCAGGGTGTCCCAGTAGCCAATCAGATTCAACTCAAAATTCTCCCTTCCAAGGCCATTCAAAAAAGTGATGAATTTGGTTACAATTTTAAGTACCATAAACTAAACTAAACTGAAAAGAAAAGCTTACAATGCATGACAGAGGAATAATTTCATTAATATACGAATTGATATATAAATTGTTTCTAAAAAATCATTAAGAAAAAGGCCAGCTACCCTACAAAAATATCATTCACAAAGAAAGAAAAAAAATCACTCTACCACTTTTTAACACCTATCAGACCTGCTGGGGAAAAAAAAAAAAATCAATCAAATCATGCATGGGGATATGGAAACTCTCATATACTGTTGATGGGAAAGTATATTTTGGATGGGGATTTGGCTACATCTTGTGAAGTTGAATATATATGTACACTAAGGCTCAGTAATTCTACTTTTAACTATAGTATTGCACTAGAATAGTGGTTCTCAAATTTTAGTGTGCATTAGAATCACCTGATAAATTGGTTGCTGAGCCCCACCCTCAGAGTTTCTGATCCAGAGGTTGGGAATGAGCTTTAGAATTTGAATTTCTAACAAAGTTCCCAGGTGATCCTGATATGCTGGTCCTGAAACCACATTTTGAGAGCCACTGCCCTATAGAAGCTACACATGAGCACAAGAAGACATAGACAAGGGTGTTCAATGTAGCACTGTTTATAACAGTGAAAAACTAGGAGCAAACTCAAAGTGCGTTCAAAGGAGAAGATAATTAAATTGGATTATTTCCATATAATGGAAAGCTATATTTTAGAATTAAAATTAATTAACTAGCTCTACAGCACCATGGAGATGACATCAAACACAATGCTAATAAAACAAACAAACAACTTTTGCAATGTTATGTGTAGTACATTATTTATACAAATTTAAGATGATATTTACAGCTATATGCATGCAGAAGTAAGAAAAAAAAGACAAGCTATGCATCAAATTCATGATGGGAGACCAAGGGAGAACAATGAGGCTGGAAAAATAATATAAGACATTTCAAGTTGACCTCTCCTATTTCTTTTAAAATAAGGATGATCTGAGGCAAATACGACAATACAAATGTCCGTTGGGTTTGGAATGATAACTACTTGAGTGAGTACTACTCTTTGTACTGTTCTGCTTTATTTTTTAATATACTGTATTAATTGTAGGAATAAAGTAAGGATGTATTCCATTACATCACACTCTGTCTGGTTTATAACACCTAAGGGAGAAATTTCTTTCCTGAATACTGGTTTGTTTTTAGCTATGGACAGACTATATGAATCTTATCACATTGCCCTCTTTGCCTGGCTACCAAGAAGCCCCAAGACAAATGTGTGACCTAGCTCCTGAAACTATAGATTATTCTATATGCTACATTCTATATAGATTCAGATGCTCATTCTGTGATAGTTTATTACTTACTTAATGCTGCTATTCCTTTTGCGATAATTCCTTCAACTGGTTACTGTTTTCTAATATGTTAAGTGCTTTTGGAAACTGCCTCAAAGCCTTTGGAGAAATAGGTATAAATGAGTAAGAACGACAACAAAATCACTCAGCTCATGCATAGTCACTGACAAGTATGTAGTAATCATGGAGGGGGGTAACTGAGATTTAGTTGCGCCCTCACAAAGTAATATCATTGGTATTACCAGAGTCCCCACTGGTTTTAACACTACTCTACAGGCATTTACAACTAAAGAGTCCCACGTAATTGGAGATGGAGTTAACAATCTTACACATGAGGTGCTATTTCACTTAAACTAGCAAAGTAAGCACCACATTGCATTTGAGCCTCCTTGGCTTCTGAAATTCATGATTTTATGATAACATCAAGAAAAGAGGCCAAATGCTACACTGGATCACCTATGATCACCTAGGCTTGCACTTGAGGGAAAACACATTCTCACAGAACTGTTTGTCTAATAATGAGTAAATGCACTTAAAACAGTTTTACACATCCCAGTTACCATTATTGCCAGCAGAGGCCAGAATGAAATTTCAAAATTCCTACTTGAAACTATCTTTTGGGCAGGTTGGCAATAAAGATGTGAATTTTACATGTTAGTTAAGAGCATAAAATCTGGCTCTGGAGGTGTGGAGTGCAGGCTCAGCTCTATACTGAACAACGATAAATACTAATTTGAGTTATTTTGAAGTTTAAAATATACCTCAAATTTATCTAACAATGAACAATTTAAGAATTCTTTAGGTCTAAGAAAAAGACAAATTTAAAATCCTGTTTATTTTAATGGATTAACTGTTGCTATTGAACCAAAGGTCCATCATTACAACCAGAAAAAAAAAAACAACTTCTTTGGTCTTGGCCATTTTTTTTTCTTTTTTGCTTCTCACTCATTTTGTAGCCAAGTCTTTTGTTGTTTTTTAATAATATCACCTTTCTTCCAATTTTAAAAAAATGTCCAACCTAGCAGCTAGAAGAACTGCAGAATCAGCCTTAGGCTCTGAGGAGCTCTAACCACACAACCTGCTGAGAGGGAAATTGACGAGGATAGCACAAGTCTAATTAATTTCACTCATAGCAGGCACCATGGGCAAAGTGTTCACCAGCAAAGTAACCTGGTGTTACACGAACTCTCTAGCACTTTACGCCAAATGCTGCAGATACTCAGCAGAAAAACAATTTTAGAAAAGAGGAGGTCTATTTGAGGGTCATGGTTTGAGAACCTTTGTAGGAGACAACTAGCACCAAAGTATATTGTTCCTGACTTCAAACAAATTAAGACAAATTATCCAAGCTCTCAAATGAGAAACTTATTCTCCAAAGCTTAGCAAACTTCCCAGTATGTTGACAACTCTGAGGCTGAATATATCTGTTAGATACCACCATTTATTTTCCTGTTCATTCTATTAAATCCTGACCTGTGAGGTTACACTTCTTCCGAGAAATATACTTAAAATACCTGTCGACCGTAATACTGCTAAAATTCCAATGAAGGTAATATCAGTTAACAACTAATAACAATCTCTAACAGAATTGCTTCCTAGCACAGATGCTTTCACTGAACCTATACAATGCACTTCTTTCCTGTCTTCTGTTAGACTTATGAACACTTCTGTTCCCTCTAAGTAAACTTTAAGTTGCTTAAAAGGAACTTGCAACTATTCTTTGTATCCCCTTTACCACCTAGCAGCCTGCCTGGAACAAGGCATTCAGCAAAAATACTTTGATGACTGAAACATTTATCCAATTGCATTGAAACTCATTAACTTTTCTGTTTGTTTCTTTCACATATCTCTAAAAGAGCCCTTTGAACAGTACTGAGTATATTAGATTTGCAATGTAATGAAATCATTAATTTGTTCTTTTGGACATTTATAAACAAAACAAAAAACTAGCCTGACCCTCTCAAATTTCAGCCTGGTAAAAGTGAGTTTTTCATCCAGTATTAAGTATAACTTCATTCTACATGAGGGAAAAGACTGGTTATAATTTCTTTCATTTTGAAAACACAAATTAGTAATTTGAACTAAACTCTTACATAATCAGGATTCTTTCAGGATAGAAGATAAATTCCCTGAACAGGGGGACATATTACAATAGTTTAACCTGTAGTATATGCAGAGCTGGCCAGCACACTCTCTAATTAAGTTTTACACAGAGAGTTTATGCAGTTATTTTTTGCCTTTCTTTTATTCTCTACAAGCATTCCTCCATCTTCAATCGAATTCAGTCATCCAGAAAATTTTTTTTAAAATCAACAACTAAAACAGGCATATCACACACATGACATCTATGAGTTAGCCTTATTCCATGAGCCTTAAAATTACAGGAATAAGATTGTGGATATATTAGACTGAACCATGTAATTGTTCTGTAGGCCAAAAATAGCCAAATATCAGCTATTTCATGTGGTTCAACATAATACACAAACATGCACAAGTTAGATGGCTGGGAACAAAGCTTCCTGCCAAAGAATGGTTTGTTAGGGACTTTTTAAAAGACTCACTTTTTTTTCTTTTGGTGTAAAGACTTGTACAGTTTCCAAGTAAGGAAAAATCCCAATGTCATAACTATTTTAAACCTGAGAGACGTTTGCATTTTCCAAAACAGAAGAAGCCGAAAAGATTGTTGACAATTATAGGAGGGAGGAAGGGAGGGATGGCGAGAGAGAGGCGGGGTGGGGGAGAAAC